GTAGATTTATGTTTCCAACCCTTATTTCTCCTGTAGTTAACAATAATGTTATTTCATTGATTATATTTATCTATTTTTTTTTTATTACTTGTTACAATGTGAAATGGTTAACTTTTTTTTTAGAGGAAGAAATTTGGAAAATTCGGCATTTAAGCCCAGATAGGCTATTTCAATGAAAATAATACCTCCCTGATATTAAAGACCACTTGTTTTACATCTATATAGCGAGTTTAGTAGAATCCGTAGGAGCCGTTTTTGGGAATATTGTAAAATGTGTAATTTCGTTTATATAAAATGTCTCATCCGGTCGTCATTCGATTTTGACGAAAACGTTGCTGTAACAATCCAGACCTATACCTACATTAAATATGTAATTTCAGTTTCGTAAAACTTTTCGTTTTTGAACTAGGCTATTCACACACACGCTCGCACAAACCCACACACACTCGTTACACTGCAAATGATCTCCGGATGAATGCTGGACTGAATCCTGAAGGTATGCAATTGGTGTGATTATGAGAACCATGGTAGCAATTCCTTGCCGAGGAAATTTCGGCTTGGATGGAAAAATTCGACGCGAGATAAACCTTGTAGACCGTGGTACAGATCCCTTTTTATTAAATTATTAACATCCGCTTAAAACTTCGTGAATAGCTTCATCTTATCAACAAATTATTATTATGTTGCCTACAAATTTTTATCAACGAAAATTCTCAGAAATGGGGCGTATCTAATTAATTTTTTTTTTTATTATTTTATTTTAGTCATGACATTGGTAACATGACATGAACAACATGAAGAGAAACTGCCCATTGGTAGAACTCAAAATTATTTCTATATTAGGTCCCGAGGCCATCTTCTTTTCAGACGCCTCGGAGGGTTATCAGGGATCGAGGAGGAAGCAAGGTTTGAAACGAGAGGATTCGGATGGTTCTGCAGTTTGTTATGGAAGGATAGGTATCTGGATCGGGCCAAATCGGAAACATGGAACATTAAGGTCTTTATGGTTGATTTTATTTGTGACAAAGTAAGGAGCGTTGAGGATTTTACGAAGGATTTTGGATTGTAAGGATTGGATACGAGAGGAATTCGATGGTTTAGTGGAGCCCCAAAGCTCAATTTCGTAAGTCCAAATAGGTATTATTATTTTCATATATATGAGTCGTTTGTAATTGATTCAAAGCGTTTGTCTAGTAAGTGCTGCAGTAGTCGAAAACGTCGGGCGGTTTTTAGTCGTTTCAGTCTGGTGTGGGGACTAATTAAATTAAGAACTAAAAACCCATAAATACACATTAGCTTTCCACGTGAATCGTAAAATAATATAATCACAAAATTGAAAAAATAGGAAAGGAAAAAAAGGTGGCCTACAAAAATATTGGACCGTTTGTCCTATATAACCTTGTTATTTGGACATTTTGGGGAGGAGGGGGGTGAAGATCACGCTCAATCAAATTATGTTACGATTGAGGTGCAAAGCAAATGGGTGTTCGTGAGTTTTAAATACCTAATTAAACAGACAAAGTTTGCCGATCTCCAGGTTGAAAACAGCCCATTTCTGAGAATTTTCATAGTTGAAACATTTGTAGGCTACGAAGAGGTTAATCTATTAGTTTTACTATTAAAACAAAGTTTTAGACGGATGTTAATAATTTAATAAAAAGGGATTTTTTGTTTTTTCTTCAGGTTTTCACAGATTGTTAATTCCATTTTCCTTAATATTATAATTTTTGGTTAAAGTATCGAAATAGTACCCACAAAATTGGTATGTGCCTTCATAGGAAAGCCAGTTGAATCATAAATTTAAAAAATCGCCCTTGGATACAGCAGCTGAGCCATAGGATCAGGACGGGAGTCCAGAGAGAATCCAAAGCCGGATTAAAAAAAAACGATGAGCAACAACAGCAACCCTTTGTTAGGACGTTAAGTAACAACCAAGGGATGAATGACTCAGTGAGTGTGAGTCAATATGAGTGATATCTGACGTCATCAATGTTGAAAATTAGTCATAGATAAGGTAACTTGTTGAGCGCCACCCTTCAGACACTGTGATATGGTCATTCCCCTCCCCTCGAGATTAGAATTGGTTTACAATGAGGGTAGCTAGCTCCATCTACATCTTTATCAGCCGTATCATTGCCTCGGACAATCGAATTATTTCTGATTTGAAAACTAAATCAATATTTGTAACGCATACTTGCATTCACAGAAGATAACCATTTTCTGTTTTATTTGAATATTTTGATTAAAACAAATTAGAGTTTGAATAAATCAAACAATATTTAGATCCTTTGAGAAAAGCCGACCTTTTTACTTGCACTTACCTATCTATACATGTAATATATAGTAAGGGAAAGTATTGCGGTCGTGAAAATGTTCGAAACTGAGTTTTCAACGGAAATACACGTTTTGAGGTCCCCTGAGTCCAAATAACCAAGTCCCGAAAAATGGTGTGTGTGTGTTTGTATCTTAACAGTCTAGCTCAAAAAAACGAAAAATCGCAAGCAACTGATGTTACGTATTTAAGATAGGTGTAATATGCCTTAGATGTGACAGGAACTTTTTCCTTAAAATCTGCTAATCGGAAGTGCCACTTTATATGAACGGTGAAACACATTTTTATAATTTTCTCAAAAAACGGCTCTAACAATTTTTATTAAACTCGGCCTATGATTGCATAATTAAGTAGTAATATCAATCAGGCCTTATCCCTTTTTGATGTCACTTTACAGGGCTTAAATGCCCAATGTTCATATACGTCTTCCTCTAAAGTACCTTAAATTTGGTTTATTGTAAATAATAACTATTTCTCATTGTTAGGAGTTATGAAAAAAAACGCTAAATATAACTGTTGAAGAATTTGATAATTGATGAATAAAGGAAAAAAAAAAAATGCTTATCAATGTCGAAAATGAATCTCCGGAAATACTAGTCGGAAGGTATACATATAATATATCGTTGGAAAGCGGAAACTTTTAGAAAAAAAAACAATGTCTGATATAGAAAGTTGTTGAAGGTTTGAAAACTAATATTATTTAACGTTAATCACATGTTTTCAAGGAGATTTATGAAATTTATTAACTAAATGTAAACTTTTAAAATATTTTTAAGTTAGAAAACAGTATTTAAAATCCACCTAACCAAGGCAATGACATTGCTTTAAAAACTATTTCATTGTATTTGTGTGAAAGAAGAAGTTAAATATCAAATCATTTCATGAATGTATAAAGCACATGTTAATAACCTTAAATACACATACTGTAGTTTAATAATTTTAGATACCATATTATATTTAAATAATTGGGTATCAACGTCCGTTTATTCCGAAAAATCGTCATGTAACATTTTACAAAATTAAATAAGTGAATAATTTGATGAATTTTCCCTTTGTGATAATCCAGCAGTATCCACTTCCAATTAGTGTGACAACTTTTGACCAGTCTATTACAGACAATGCAAATCTCTTCATTCCATTTTAGTAAACTTTGCAATGGAAAATAATAGTTTAATAACTAATAGTCGTACAATCCATAATCAACGGATCGTACAATCCATAATCAACGGTGATATAATAAATAGGACTTTTGTTGTTTTAATGGTATTTATGATTTGTTAGCTGTAAGCTTTTAGCTTTAGCTTGGTTAAAAATGCAATTCAAAAATTTTATAATAGCCCAATATGACCAGAAAATAATTTCTATTCAAAGTTGAGCTAGTACCATATTTCATACTTAGTCAAATATTATAAATTAATTACTTTTACTAACTTAGCAGAAGCATTTTTGCAATATAGAATCTCATGAGCCTTAGAATCATATAAATCTAGGACTTAATAAGTAAATAGGAGCAAAAATAAACAAATATTCGCAATGGGATAATTTATAGGTATAATATAAAGTTCTCTTTTGGTCTCCTGAAACACATTCAAACTCATTATTTAAACGGAATGGTTATGATAAATTTAAACGTTTAGAAAAAATATCATCAGAATTAGGACATTGAGTAAGAAACTGGAACTACTCTAAAAAATGATCACATTCACTAATATTTACGAACACATCTATAAGGGGACCCTACACGGTCAATCGGAATTGCACTAATGACGTTCCGAATTGTCGTGTAAGGTAGTGAATGAAGTACTGATGGTGGTGCGCTGCGGATTTCCGAACATCCGGAAATCAAAGGTTCATTCACGAGAAGTGGAGGGGGGACAGAGGTAAAAGTAGTGCGGAGACTAACCTTGCTACTAGATAGGTTAGGTTACCTAGGCCTCGTTATTAAGTAAATAATTTCATAAAAGTAAATAGTTGTTTATATCCCTAGTCTATATTATTATTAACCATTTTCAACTATTTTTTCTTTAAATAGTCAAGTAGGCAATAAATTGGAGAGAAAAAAAAGTGGAAACTTCACATAAGTAATGATCAGTAATGATTGAACGTGTAAGGGTCTTCATGAACAAAGCGATAGCGGGCAATCTTGGAACTTCTTGTGACGTTCATTCATGAATTACCGTGTAGGGTCTGCTATAGAATACGTAGATTAATGTGCTTTTATAAATCAAATAATTTAATTCACATTGAAAATTAACGGTTATTTTGAAATAACCTATACTTAAATGTGTTGAAAACTATTCGTTTTGGAGAAACAATTGGGGAAAAAAATCTAACCTCTCGTTGTTACTTGTCACCAGCAATCAATCATAAGCTGCCTCTCTGTTGCATTTGACCGTTTCTTAAAAAAATACACATTGATTTTTAAAAAAAATAACTTTTGCAGCATATAGTAGAACATTATCGAAATAGTCTCTAAAAAAACGCTTGGAAATCTTAAATCAACCTAGATCCGTTATTTACTTATGTTTGTTGATAGTATAAAAGAAAATTTTAAATTAACTTTGATTATCATTTGCCAGTTTAACTGAAGATATAACATTTGTTGTTTTATAACATCATCCTATTTTAGCATACCTATCTAAATTATATTATTGATATTGATTGTAACCTTGTAACAATGCCGCGCTACTTGCACCCCGGAGGATCGGGAGACAGCTGAGACTGACTGTTGCTTGACCAGCTGTTGAGGTTCACCTCGCTCCTCTCACCTGCTACGCCTGATATATTCTTCAGCAGCATGGATTTTAACAAGCAGGTAAGTAACCCTCGTTTTCTGCTAATTGGTAAACCACGTAAGCTCCCTACGTAATGAAAAAATAGCTTTACACTATACACTGGCGTTCTTGATAGTTAGAAAAAATCAGATCTTAACTTTCTGCCACTGCTGATATATACATAATTAACACGAACTTCATTATCTCGCCGTCAAACAAGTTGGTTATCAAGAGGTTATAATTACCAGCAGATGTTCAGAAGTATAAGAATATTTTCAGAATTATAACAGTGGCTTTTAGCTGATTGAATTCTCCCTTCAAAGGAAATTCCGATTGAGAATCTTTCACTATTTTCTGCCTTTCATCTTAGTCGTTACTAAGGGCTTCCGATGACTTACTTTCAAATGACAGAACTTTCAAACAAACAGGTTATATGGCTGGCGTTCACGGATATACTGTCGACTAATTTTTTCGGAGAGCAGTTTATAGTTTATAGTTTATAGAGCAGTTTAAATTTTAGGTTATTTTAAAGAAACTTTTGCATTAAACTACTTTCCAAAAATTAAAGTCATCAGATTTTTACCGATTTATCCATCGTACAGAATGGAGCACGCAACCTCTTTCAGCATCCATAATACTTACAGTCATTAAAAAGTTATGATATACCGCCAAAAACATTTCGATTAAAATTAAAGGTTTTTGTCATTTAGCATCTTATATTCTCAACGTCATCGTTACTTTTTAGGCACCTCATAAACTGAAACCATGGAGACATGATTCGTCACTTTTTAGGTACTCTTAAAAATATTACAAAGCCTGTGTAATGGTTTTTACTTTCACTTACCTATATATGTTATATATAGTAAGGGCAAGTATTGCGATCTTAAAAATTTTCGAATCTGAGTTTTCAACGGAAATACAGGATTTGAGGTACCCTGAGTCCAAATAATCAAGTCCCACAAAATGGTCTGTGTGTCTATGTGTATGTAAACAGTCTTGTTCCAACACATTTTTACAATTTTCTCAAAAATGGCTCAAACGATTTTGATTAAATTCGGGGTATGATTGTATAATTAAGTGTTATTTAAAATAAATCAGGTCTTATCCCCATTGATGTCATTTTACAGGGCTTAAATGCCCAATGTTCATGTTCGTCTTCCTATAAAGTACCTTCAATATGGTTTAATTAAAAAAATTAATCATCTCACATTCTTCAGAGTTAAGAAAAAATGCAAAATATACCTTTTAAAAGAATTCGCTAATTGAATAAAGGAGAAAAAAATAATAATGCTTATCCAGGTAGAAAATGAATCTCCGGAAATACCAGTTAGAAGGTATACGTATAATATACCGTTGGAAAGCGGATAATTTTAGAGAGAAAAAAAAAACAATATCTAATATAGAAAGTTATAGAAGGTAACGTTGAATGGTGAAAAAAATTATTTTATTTTATTATTGAAATTTACAACTGTATAAATGATTAATACAACAAGTAAATTTGAAACAAGTAACATGACATGTACAACATGAAGAGAAACTACCCATTGGTAGCACTCCAACTATATTAGAAGGTCCCGAAGCCATCTTCTTTTCAGACGACTCGGAGGGTTATCAGGAATAGAAGAGGAAGCAAGGCTGGAAACAAGAGGGTTCGGATGGTTCAGAAGTTTATTATAGAAGGATTGGTATCTGGATTGAGCTAAATCGGAAACATGTGGTACATTAAGGTCATTATGGATGATTTTATTTGTGAGAAAGTAGGGAGCATTAAGGATTTTACGAAGGATTTTGGATTGTAGCGATAGGATACGAGAGGAATTTGATTGTTTAGGAGAGCCCCAAAGCTCGATCCCTTAAGTCCAAATAGGTCTTATTATAGTAATATATATGACTCTTCTGTAAATAGTTGGAAGTTTAGAGCGTTTGTCTAGTAAATGCTGTAGTAGTCGAAAACTTCGGGCGGTTTCTAGTCGTTTCAGTCTGGTATGGGGGTTGCAATGAAAAAATTATAAATAATATTTTTGGAAAACTAACATAATTTAACGTAAAGCACATGCTTCCAATGAAATTAAATTAATGTTTTTAATAAATGTAAACTTTTAAAGTTTTTTCAAAGTAAAAGAAGTGAAATATAAAAATATTTCATGGATATATTTATAACCTCGAATACATTTACTGTAATTTAATAACTCTAGATAAGATATTATATTTAAATATTAGATATCTATCGGCCGTTTATTCCAAAAAATCTTCAAGTAACTTTTTATAAAATTAAATTAGTGAATAATTTGATAAATTTTCCTTTGTGAAATCCCAACATTATCCAGTTGTATGTGACAACTTTTGATCAATCCATGGCAGGCAATGGATATCCCGTAATGTCATTTTAGTAAACTTTTCAATGGAAAATAACAGTGTAATAACTAATAGTACTACAATCCATCATCATTTATAGGTTAAATATTCACTTAAATATAAAGGTTAAATATATACTTTCAAACATCTCTAGGCTTATACGAGCCTTTGGGCTGACAGAATGACTAACCCCAATTTGAGCATTCTTTATTATCAATTTTAGTGTTGTTTCTACTGACCACATGTATACCTTTATTCACAGTTCTATATTTTAACACTGCAATCACATACTCTGCAATCAACTGACTCACTGTCTGTATAGATATAACTTTTTCAACTAGAAATATCACTAAAATGACATTACTCAAAAATCTTGAAATCGATTTTTGTCATTCTGTCAACTGAAAGGCTCATAGACTGAAGTTGTGTGGTTTATAAAAACAGATGGAATAACTAGATTTTTATTGCCTACCGTCGATATAATGAATAGACTTTTTGTAATTTTAATGGTCTTAATGATTTGTTATCTGTAAGCTTTAAGCTTTAGCTCCGTTTAAATGCACTTCAAAATTTTTTTAATAGCCCAGCATTGCCAGAAAATAATTTCTATTCAAAGTTGAGGGGTAAGTAAAAGTTGCGTATTGCGTTCACAAGACTTTTTTCTTTAAAAATGTAAATGGTATTTTCTAAAACGATTTTTGTACAATTTTAAGATAAATTATTTCAGGAGAACATTGAATATATTTTTTTATGTTCTCTGGTTATCTCCTGCATAACTTAGTTCGGCTTAGTCTTTAAATTTTATGAAAACATTTTTTTTTTTTGTCACGAAACTAATTGAGAAATGTCGCATTTATTTGTGCGTGCACGTACTTTTCTTATTTTAAGAAATGATATATTCTCTGTGAATTCCAGCTGCCAGATTTGCTTTAAGTTTGTCTGGCTATAAAAAAAGGAATCAATATTGTATTCTAATTTAATTGAAAGCATGTTTGGGATACTTATTGGTAACCAGTTAAGGTAATTGTTGTTTCACAAAATCTTTCACATTCCGGTTAAGTTAATTTTACTTGGTAGGTACAGCGGATGATAGCTTTTATTGACCAAGAAGGCGATGAAAAGACGGTGGAGATAGAATTGAAAGGTGACGAGGAAGCTAACTGCTCCTTAGGAAACATGATCAACAAAGAGAGGATAAAGATTAACAATTATTATACCAAACTCGAGGGCATCGTTGAGAAGCAGAGGGTAGTGTATGTACCATACATATCCATCTAATGTAGCTTCATAACTATAGTGTATGTACCATATATATCCATCTATCGTAGCTTCATAACTATATATATATATATATATATATATATATATATTATATATATATATATATATATATATATATATATATATAATTAGTGTGTTTCTTGACAAAAATAATGAATTGTAGTTGTTCCAATTGCAAATGTGACTTTTGTTTTATGCCGTTATATAAAAGTTATTACATATTTATGGTGATAAATGTTATGTAAAGTTTATTTCATTTTAATTGGATAAGATTGCCTCATAAATGTAAAAATATTATTAACAGTCAGAGTGTCACCCTTTCCAGCAATACTTTCTTGGTGGGTGTATGTATGTGGCATAATAAAAATTTATTAATAATTTCTTACCCAGCAAATTAATTCAAATATTTGATTCTGCAACCGGAACTACGCTTTTGTCAAGAGAGGACAAGTCCCTTTCTTAAAAATCCTGTGTATAAAAAAAAAAATATCTTATAGGCTTAGGTAATAATATAGTCTTTTCAAAGAATAATTTATAATAATTCTTAACAAGCCTCATACACGAGGGGGTTGCCAGAACTATGGTAACAGAGGCCGATCAACAGTAAAATGTTATGATTAAAGTTTTGTAGATTGTTAAAAATTAAAATATTATCTATCATTTCGTATATTATACAAAATTTTAACTATTATGATATATTTACTCACAACAGTCACAAAACATATATACGAGATATTTAACGTGGAAGGGTGCCCGACCTAAAAATACGGAGCGATGCCTGACAGTTGTCAATTTGAAACACAACGATTTCAAAATGATCTTATTATTCAATATTCCCTGACATAATGACGCACTTTTTTGTTTTCTTCAGATGAAATTCCAGAAATCATATAAAATACGCAGCTTATGATTAACGTGCAAGGATTTCGCCCTGCACTTGATCTAAAATATGATCCTTGACCGCCTTCCAAGTTGGAACTCCTCTTATACCCGCTAATGTTGACGTAAGAAGATAACGGTAGGGCCAACTATGTCAGAGAGTAATACTGTCGACCGTGGTTGGCCAAAGGTCAAAAGACACCCCTGACAGATTTGTGGTCACCGAAAGCTTCCAGGTGCTAAGTGGTTCCCTCTGTGCTACAAGTGCCTGCATTATACGCAGAAATAATTTCAAATAAATCTTGTCTATTTTTAATTAGTTCAGTCTTATTTCTAAACAGCTTCCTTTAAATAAATGTGCCTAGGTAGCATTCAAAACTGGCCTAGGCTGTGTTGATTATTAACTGTTTCAACAACTCGCATGTTGCCAAGGAATCTGATTTATTTCCGTATCCTTTCTCGATTTATTTCTAAAGGCACCAATAGCTCACAGACTAAAATTAAATGGGCCACTGCATAGTGGTTCAGAGGCGTTTTTTTTGAAAAAACAAAAATAAACTAAAGACGAAAGTATTTCAATCAAATTGTTGCACCATACTATCTTTCCTTAAGATCCCTAGAACGTAGGCCTATAACTATTTTATCCAGTTTCCTCGGATTTAGCCAAAATACAAATTAAAGAGCCATTTTCATTGATTTTACAAAAAAAATAATGGTATTTACTGATATTTTTAATATATATTTTTAGATTTTAATAACAGAGAAGTTATTGATATTATCTTTGAAATGTCATACTTGTGGACAATAAAAAAAAGTTAAAATTTTCTTACAGTTCTTTGGTTTTCATTGTTATAACTATGAAAAATTTGAAGCTTGATGTAAGTATAAACGCAAAATAAACGAGCTAAACCTAGCTACACGCTGGGACCTATTCCATTAGTTAATAGGGATCAAAACATAAAGTATGTGAAAACAATTTCTTGCGTTTTAAAAACTATGAATGGTTTTTCTGTGTCAACATTATATGTAACTTTAAGAAATTGTTAGCTGTGTAATTCAATCAAAATCTTGACTTTTAGTACTTCAATCACATTTATATGAATAAGAGAAGATCTAGTACAGTCAACAGCAATCATTATTAGCCTCTAGCGGAATATCATGAGTGTGTTCCAGGAGTGCCCATCTCCCATCCCCAAGGTCGATGGAGCAAAATTCTACCTCCCTCCCATGATATTTTATTGTTCACCTTTTTTTAACTATAAAGCAAGGAAAGAAGGTAGAATTATAAAAATTGTATATCATATACAATTACACTTGCTGCGGCCAGTTCCATGTTTTCTCCTAAGTTTGAATTATTATAAAGTTATTATTATAAACCTTTCCAACCTCAAATCCCACGATCACCTTGGTTCCAACCCTACAAATCCTCCAGAAAATTCCGAACTTGCACACCTTCGCCTCAACCACAACAGCCTACCATCCCATCTCTTTAAAATAAACATAATGGAGTTTCCTTACCTGCGACCATTCCTCAATAGCCGATGAAAACCATGTTCTCCTTTCCTGTCCATATTCATCTACAGACTATGATTCTTTTTACCATTTTCTCATCAAAAACAATATCTCCCTCCCTACAACAATTCCTACTATCCTTACACTAACTCATAGACCAAAAATTATTTACTACTTATATAACCTTATCACTTCTAATAATATAAACTGTTAAGTATATGAATTGATTGGTATGAAATATGAATTGGTATATTGACTAGTATGCTCATGCATAAACCACAAAAATAAACAAAAAAAACTCTATTGATTTCTTAGTTATAATATTTCGTTGAACGTCCTTATGAACTCCAAAAAAGGGAAGAACCTATTGGTCACAAAATAATTCTACCTAGCATGTGCAAGTCTATGGTTCTTCCACGAAGTAAAATTCAACCACTACACGCGGATACCGATGAGGTAAGATGGTAGAAGCAGGTAGCTATCCATCTGGAATACTCTACATAACAATGAATGCAAGAATAATAATAACTAAGTACTAACTAATAATAACTAATACTAAGAACAATGAATGCTCAATAGAAGGCAAAAGACCATATGTAAGGCCAAAAAGCAAATGGGTAGATAGAATCAACAAAGATACAATACAGCTTCCTTCAGGTAAATGGCAACAAATAGACCAAGACAGGCAGAGATGGAGCAGGCTTGCTAAGGCAACAAAAGGTCTACATGCACCTTATATATATATGTTTTGTATATATATATATATATATAAATAATCTGGCGTAGGACTGATGACCCTAACCCCATGTACTTCAATCGGGAATCAGGATGTGGTCTAGGTGACCACATCTCGCCGACAAAGATCTTCATGATGGTCTGTAGCGCCAACCGAAAAGAAAAAAAAAGAAAAAAAAAAGAAATATATATATATTATTATATATTAAAATTAAAATATTATATAATTATATACTTGAAATGCAAAAGGTTTAGTCAAATGAGATTCAATGCAGTTTTGATTTAGAAAATAGAATTGAATCTCATTTGACTAAACCTTTTGCATTTCAAGTATATAATTATATAATATTTGTATATTAAAGTATATATAAGTATTTTTATAAATAATTATATATTATTAATTTTATTATTAATATATGCCCTTGAAAACTTTGAAGATTTGATAAAAAAGAAATTACTTTAATTTTTTAATAACTATTTTATTTGCAATAGATTATTGTAACATGTTATCTCTATGTTCACAGACAGGTGTCAATGCTAGCCAATGATGCAAGGATGCACATCCTCATATTAAAAGAAAGGAGACTGGAGGCTCTGTTTAGTGAAGTTTATTTAAAGATAAAAGAGGATATAAATAATATAAGCTTTTACAAGAAGATTTTCAAACTACTTGTTCTTCAAGCACTTTGTCTTGTAAGATATTGGAATATCAAAACTGATATTCAGCGGCAGGGTTAAGGCTAGCAACATTTCTAAGTATCAAATTAAATTTTTGCATTATAAGAGTAAATTAGTTAACAGAATTCTTTGGGCAAGTTCCTAAACTCAGTGTTGAGCTTATTGATGGCATGGTTTTGCAACAACAATATAGTCCATAACAGTATTATTTCTTGTATGTAAACCCTGTAATAACACCTAGCTGAAGACAGACCAAGGCAGCTAGTTTTGAAAGAGCATGTTCCGTAATTTGATGTAAACAGTAAATAAAGATTTGCATATTCATAAAAATCAATCTTGTCGAAAGACTTTTTTTTATATTGTTTTTTCCATTGTTTTAATTTTTATTTCAGCTTGTGAATTGTAAAAAAAAAAATTGCATCCATAATTTGTTATTTCAATTATTAATTACATAGCCATGTTACCCTTGAACCATTTTGTATTGCTTGTAAACATTAAGTTTATTTGTTTGTAAATTTGTTACTGATTACTGATGCAAGGATGTTATAATGTTACTTAATAAAAAAGCAAAGAATAACAAATTTCTTATGTTAATTTTTGTTACTTATTTTTGTGAAAACTAATCAGTTATGTTGTATCTCAGATGATGGAAAAGAATGTTGGAATTCGCATCAGGAAAAAAGATAAGGCTCTTATAAAAGAGTTGATACCACAAATTGTGGACGAATTTGAAGAAATGTCACGTATGAGGGTGCGATTCGAAGTGGATGGTCGAGTGTTTTTGGACGACAACTCCCTTGGAGGCATAGTGATGTATTCCAATTGTGGGTGTGTCAAGGTAGAGAATACGATCCGGTCTAGGCTTGGTCTCATCAGAAACTTAGTTTCATCCTTTTTGAGGAATCAACTCTTTGGCTCCAATCCACACCGGAAGTTCAGTGACTAGGAGGACATACTGCTACTTCACAATGGTCACAAGGATACCAAATAATTGCTGTTCAAGATGAATGATTTACTGCGTGGGACCACTTTCACAATTTTCTATCAAGAACGGAATCAATTGTAAAGAACAACATGTAAATTTATAATAAATACATTCTGTATTGGTAAAAATTAGCAGTTGTCATTATTTTTATATATCTTTTAAATAAACTCACATCTGTCAAAAATTTTGTGTAATAAATTAGAAGTCACATTGTGCATGCACATTGTAAGAATATGCCTCCTCAGTCATGTGGAAGAGCTTATGATAATTGCTAGGGTTATCCTATCAGAATGGAACCACTGTCTGTCCTTATTTTAAACAATGTTTGTACTAAGTTGATCCTTCATTCTATATTACAGCCTTCTATAGGTACTATGAGGGGGATTTGAGGCCATATCTCGTACAAATCACTTGTCTAAACAGAGGTGCTCAGAAGGGAGTTTTATGGCACAAGTTGTGCTTTGACAGGATTTTGAACATTTCGACAGGATTATGAATTTTCAAAATGAAAAGTTTCAAACCTGGGAACAAGAGGAAAGCAAAGAACAGAACACTGAAAGTGTCGCAGGTATATGACCTATTCTACTTTAACTTGCACTGTTTTTAAGAACATGAGAGCAATAATATGTCTTGGGAGAATGGGGGGAGGTGAAATAACAGTAGTAAATTCCTGCATCCATCACTGCTCAAAAATAGTTGTGGTTATTTTTTTAATCATAAGCAGGTAAAATAAGCTAATTATTCATATGCTGACTCAGTAATAAATATGTAGCTCATATAAGTTGTATTAATCACGGTTGTTTTAAGTTTCATAACTAACATATGAACACGAATGTAACTATTAATCAATTTTTAGGCTATTATAAAACAAACAATGACGATTATAACTAATGTATTAAGTTTGATTTCAAATACATTAGTTCTTAGTGAAGAATATATTTAATAATTCATAGGGGGTTCACATAAATTGAAAAAGACTTTCAGATTGTTCAGTCATGTTTATTGAACACGAAAATGAAATTTTAGGAATTTAAATATAATTGGAGGAAACTGGGCTACATTTCTGCCATGTAAGTTATTTGAAAGATTGTGAATTTAAAGGAGACTAGTTCTTGGACCAAATGGTTACTCAACGTTGGCTCTGATAAGTCAAGAAAAAACAAAGCAGACTGACCCTTATAGTTTTTTTTAATTTAGTGATTTTAAATGAAGTGAAGTGAAGTTATAAGAGTTTTATATGTCTTCTTAGAAATAAAAAATAACTGCTTTATTACCTCGAAAAATAAAAATTTATTTTTCAATGAACTGTTATCAGAGCTAAATATCCTTTTCAGACTAAACATTAAACAACTTTTCCACTACACTTAATAAAAACATCTTAAATGTTTCTTCATCATACTAATTGTAAGTACCAGATTTGCAGAGTAGTTGTAAATAAAAAATCTTTGATTTCATTTCAACCATTTCTTCTACCAATTTTCACTGTTTTAAAACAGATTTCTTCAACAGTATAATTATTTGTCTTTAAGAATTATTATAGAAATGTATGCTTACGTTGTTATTAAATAAATTAATGTACATATTTTTTTTTTTGGTAAAATAGGCCATATAGATAGAGTTTTGGATTTGCAGTATAGTCTTCTTATAGAAATATTGCTTGATGGAACAGAGATAACCTGAAGTGGGTAATCCAACTTCACATAATTACAGACATGCTGCAGTTGCAGAATCCATAACCATTGTCATTGAAACCAACTTGTGGACCACCGATTGATGGTCACACAATTCAGGTACGTATCGAAGTACTTTTTACATTCAGCATTAGTCAACAACCTTCATACCTATTGCAAGTACCTCGGTCATCCTGGCCCCAATATAAATGAGTTATTGTAGGCTCATACATTTATAAGTTAATTTGATTAACATCTACATAAAATTCACATCATTGAGGGCAATGTTACAGGGAAATAATAGCAGGAAAATTATAAAGGAATAAAGAATAATAAAAATAGTTATGGGTACTAATACTGTTTAATACCATTACTAATATAAAGAAAAACATGATAATCTACAATAATTACAAAATATAAATTTGCCTTTCTTGATATATGTTTGAAGGCACAATGTAGAATTGATATATTTTACATCATTGACTTCCATTACCAACTAAAATTTACAAATAAATATAATTCATGTTTAATAGAATTAAGAGAAAAAATATATTCACATTCCAATAGACATAGATAATATTTATACTAGTGTGATCATAACCCTTAATAACAAAAATAAACATCTTCATAATAATAATAATAATAATAATCATATTAATTTTGTCTAACATATGTCAATACTTAAGAAAATGGATTATCTCAACATAAATAATTAAATGCAACCTATTTTTTGTCTTTGGTTGCTTTGCCCTAATCAAAACTTTCGGACCATAAATTTTTCAACCAAAATATAAAATAAATAATTTTTTTCATTTGACGATTATATATATTTCCTATATACCTAGGTTTATCATGAGGCAGACAATTTTTCAGTTTATTAATGTTGTATGCTATAATATTGGTCCAGGAAAAAAAAACTGTCATCTGTGTACCATGCAATAATAGAGAATTTCTTTTTTTAAATAAACCAAAAAAAAAGATACCTTTATTCCGAAATATGAATTGTGGTCAAATTCAAGAACATTTTATAATGGCTAGAAGAACACAAAAAGTGTTTTTGCTATGCTTAGGTAGTAGTGCATTTGCTATTTTTAACAGACTACAAGATTAACAATGGTTGGACCATAAATTAGTGGGTATCAAATTCACCTTGAATTTGAAAAGAAATGATGATCTTATTGAATAAAATAGCAATTTAGACACTACAACGGCCCAAGGTATATGTAATGGCAATAATTCTTTGAATGGATACAGTAGAAAATAAAATATAGCTTGTTACAATGGCTTACAGAGACAGTAGTTTTATCAAATATTTATTTGTAATCAATAATTTTATGAAAAACATCAGTGCACAAGTTTCTAACATAGGTAATAGTATATAGTAAAACAACAAAAAAACCTCTTCTTCCCCATACTAAACATTAAATAAAACATTTCATTTACTTTTAAACTAAAAACAAATCTAACGCTAAAACATGTGCCAAGCCACTTGTGCTCTGAATCAATTTTCTTCAAACAACAAAATTATAAGTAACTGTTGAGAATCCATAAAAATAAAATAAATAAAAATGTTAAATTTGTCAATTAGATAAATATTACACTTCTTCATTCTAATAGAATATGAGGAACAAACCAACAGACACTCATTTATCCCCTTTTATGGGTCATACACGAAATGCATCTACCCTTTACAAACATAGTATATCACAACTCTACTTTTAAACATACAATATATATACTGCATGTATATATGTATATAATTTATGTACAATGGTCAGCAGTACAGAGCCACTCACATCACTAAACTCCATTTACACATATTACAAAAAATTATCATCTGGTAGGAAACACAGCCTTTAAAATATGCTCTGACATGAACAAAATGACGAGAAAAAATAAATTAAGACTAGAAAATAATGGAGATGAAATGATACTAAATAATAATAAAAAAAAAAAATCAATCAAAAAATATACACATATAATGAAGGAAATGGAATAGAGCTCAGACAGAGCAGCCAGAGAGCTCCTCTTGGGCAGTGGCCTGCTGCTGCCAGGTGGGCTTGGTCTCCGTGCTGCTCCTCAGGCACTGCTCCAGCTCCAGCAGTTGGCCCATGAAGTTGAGGTTGGGGGAGATGATGGAGCGCGCGGCCTTCACCAGCTTGTAGGCCTCTATCATCGACAGTCCTCGGTGCTTCATGATGTAGGCGATAGCGATCGTCGGCGACCGCGACACTCCGGCCTGGCAGTGGATCAGCACTGCGCAGTTCGACTTCCGCGCCTCCTCTGTAACAGGGAAAAAATAATATACATTAGTGATGCAAAGTAAAACTGTGATTTCATAGAAAAAAAAAGAAGTAAATTAATAAATATGTTCATGGATAGTGGCATTACTAAGATAAGAAAAGAAGAATGACCCAATTCTGCCTGAGAAAGGAAACGACTTGCGTTTTCTTCAGTGGTACACAACAAACGGCGAAGTTCTAAGAATGAACGGAAATTCCTCCAGCAATGAATCATTCTCACCTAACGAATCCGGGACGATCTGATTCAGTGTTTTACCGAGAAGGATCACTACGATCTACCTCGACATAAACACGACAGAAATAGCGTGTGATGCTACAACTTGGAAAAACCAGCTCCATACGTTAATTGTATGAAAAAAAAAAATTCAATGTTTTCAAATAATTTCGGCATGATATGATTGAAATATCTTGTAGACATGATAATTCGTTCGCCGACCATTTATTTTTACAGAACTTATTCCTTTTTTTTTTTTAAACAGACGATACGATTGGCAAAACGGTGTACCTACAAGGACGCCGACCTGGCCTTCAGTTAGGCTTAGTGAGGTGCTTACGGCATTGGGATAACTTATCCAAGGCAATGTCCAGATATGGACAGCAACTAAAGCATATTACCGTGCTTGACATATCTTGAAAGCCTCAACTCATTTACCACTATGATGCACTAGCGAATCCAGCAATTAATTTTGGGGGCTTCATCCTGAAAGCTTTTTCTCTACATATATAACGATAATTACTTTGGAAGAAAGAAAGAAACTAACTACCTATAAGAAATGGTGTTTTAGTGATTCTTGAAGTTCTATTGAATTTAATTAACGAACATTAATACTTTTTAGAGATAATTTGTTTTTGTTAGACATGTATATATTTCACCATTTTTGGGAGGAGGGAGAGGAGGGCTTCAGACCGAATCTCCCCGTAGATCCGCCTGTGCCACAATGTGTATATGTATGTTTTTATTTATCTTTTATTAATACATATCTCAGTATGAAACAAAATATTGACACGATTTAGAAGAATAAAATATAAGAAATAATATCACAAAATAAATTTCATCATAAGAAAGAAAAAAATGAAAACATTTTTGAAATAGTGGTTGTTTAAAAGGTCCACTCGGAGGAAAGGGGCAGGTAAATATAGTGAGGCCTTTGGAAGATGAGTCAGCCGGCAGGTAAGACGTCACCGACCTGACCTTGCCACGTCACCTCCACCTCAACAATCGATACATCGACCTGGGCTATATTAGCAAGCCTCTTAACTAATATTAAAATATGGATCCAGCCAGTCCAATCACGCTAAAATATTAACCCCCAATCTGCCCCAATTTATCACGTCTATTTTTTAAAATACATGGAAATCCGACAGGTATAGAGGAATCGGAGTCAAAACATATCAGCAATGCAACAGATGGCTTGTACATTGGGAAGGGCCTTATAGCGTTTTAGTCTAAGAACAACACGAGAAAGATCAAAGATTTAATTGAATTTTTTTTGAAAGAGAGTAATTGTGTTTTTTTTTAAATATGCATACAAGTAAATTAACTATTTAAGTTTTAAGAGTTCATCAGTCATATTTGTATTAATTAACATATAATGGGTTATGATTATTATATTGAATTATAACTTTACTTTTTCAATTATTGGAGATATGGAACATAATGAAAATATATCAATTCCATATTTGTAAACAACATTCAAAAATTATTTTTGCGTTATACACGGTTTAGTTCTTACAGTCTTTACAACATAATAAAAGTCATACTTATTAGTAGTATCAGATATTTATGTACTTTCAAATCTGTCTTTGTATGTAGAGGTTTGAAAATAGAGTTAGGTTGCTGTGAGGCTTTCATACAGCCCAGTTGTCCTCTATTTCTTTTTAAATTTAGAGAAGCATTTATCTCGTAGGATTTTTTCAGCAGACATTCATGTTGAAAAAGTAAAAATGTCATTTAACACAGAATATTTTCCAATATCGAATGTAATGTTTAATTCAGTTAATTGTCAATATATAGAGTAACTGGATTCCGCAGTAAAAGGCCACTCAATGAAACTAATTTGTCAAAGCAATTATACAAAACTAGTCCAGCAAGAAACTAATACGGGTAATTGCTAACCAGTCTTATGCAGATTACGATCGCACGACCAGATTTATGTTAAACAATTTATCAGTTCCCACACAAAACTGACTGCTTGTTTATTGGCATTATTTATTTCGTGTAGCCGCTATGGAGCGGGTTCGCAATGATTCATAGATTAAGGACCTGTTAATCTGACAAGCACCCCTTCAAAAGTAACCAACCAACCCAAGCAGTGTTGTTACAAAGGGAAGAATGACGTCATGTTGGGGGTAGCTCTGCATCTGCCCGGCTAACACATACGGAGAAACTGAGTCATGTCTTTTGTTTTGTTTTTTCAAAGCTTTCGAAAGCCATTGTCAGTCAAAAACTGGGCCTCCTGCCCATAATCGGGGTGTTAGGGAGCCGTTATAAGCTAACATGGTCGCTTTGAGAAATGCACCAACGGTATATGAGGGGTCGAAAATTATCGAAATCAAGATAACAATTAAATAAATCGTACAACAAAGTGACTCGATTGCCGCGCCATGATCCGGAAGCGGCATAGAGACTTGCGTAATTATGCGGCACTAGAGGGCGTGTTAGATGCCTGCATATATTAGCCGCGGCCTTGCCTCACCTTCCCAGCTGAACCTTTCTCCCATCAGCCCCTGCCGTCGCACCCAGCCATGCTCCTTTCTTTTAAATATCTCCCCCGAATCCAAATCGCAAATTGATAGCGACAAGAGCTATCTACAAGCGGGAGAGGGGACAGTGCCGCCGAGCTATCAAGGGCCGGTAGCAGAGCCCATTGGCCGGGGGCGATATATTAAATAAAGAGACCCCGCCCATTGGCCCAAATCGCAGGTTAATTTCCGGACTGGGGCCCCCAATGGCCTCGCCTGTTTGTTCTACCCTCCGGCCTGTTTGCTGAATTAGAGCTTCATTCGAGTTTCGTGTCAACACTCCCAGCAAATTTCCTTATTTCCACTGATTTATGCCATAGATATTCGGTTTACATATGGGAGAGCTTCCTAGCAACCGGTATGATTTGTATCGCAGGTCATGAATATCCTTGTATATTTACTGGAGAATAATTCAGAACTCGATTAAAATTTAAGGCTGGAATTCTCTTATAGTTGTACAATTAATAATAGGAAAATGGATTAAATGAAACCCTCTAATGAATTCCTATAATTAAATCAAGATTATGTCATGCATAAACGTCTTGAGTTTAAATGGCAGAATAATTGCTTGGAAATAGTATAATAATTATTAGTTATCATATACTATGTATCACTAGCGGATCCAGGATTTAATTTTTTTTTCGGGAGGGAGAGAGGGGGCTTCAGCCCAAAAGCTTTTGTTTTCATATATGTAAGGATAATTAATTTGAAAAAAAGAAAAAACTAAATATCTATATGACATGGTGTTTAAGTGATTCTTGAAGTCCTATTAAATGTAATTACAAGAACAATAAAACTTTAAGAGGTTTTTTTTCTTCTATAAAACATAGTTATATTTAACCATTTTTGGGGGGAGGACGAAGGGCTTCAACGCGAAAACCCACCTCCTCCTCCTCCTCCCACCCGTAGATCCGCATGTGCTATGTATTGAAGTTTATATATAAATACTCCGAAAAATGCCACCTAAATAAGCTATGCAGTTAGTTAATGTAAGATTTAAGTTTTCCTTGCACTCTTGTTCCCTTTACTGTGATGTGATAGGAAAAGAGAGAGGATGAGAAAAACGAGAGAAACTCACCGATGAAGGAGAAGGCCTCTTCGAAGTACTGCTTGATGTTCTGCTGGCCCGAGTCGGAAGCAGGTAGTTGCCTGTAGGCTATCCCGCTGGGCTCTGGACCCGTGGCCTGCAGGGTGACGTTGAGGACTTTGGACACGCCGAGGTCCCTCAGGAGGGTGGTGTCTCCGGCGTCCCTGGCGTTGCCGACGTAGAGGAAGGGCAACACCCTGGATGGCGGGTAGGTCTCTATGTCGGGGCCCGCCGGCTCGGGGCTCAGCGACAGGGGGGCCGTGTCCTCGCACTGGTTCCGGTGCCTCCTTGAGAACTCTTTGTGGCCTCCTGTGGAAGAACACCAATGTTAGAATCAAGTTTATACATGTCAACACTAAACATACAGAGAAAAATAAACATTTTCTATCAAAATGTATCTAAAATAATCGATTCCCTTCCAATAGAGTTAATTCATCTGAGATGAACGCTAACTAATGTTAAAAGTGTACTATATAAATTTACCATTAAATCCCTCCTGTAAATCATTTTAAATAAATTTCACGATAGTACAACTCGAATAGGCTAGAGTAAGACTAGGGGTGGGCGCCGTACGGTCTGACAGAACCGTCTGTAAAATTAGACCGAACCCTTTTCCGGGATAAGCTTTTTGATAAAAAGGGGGGACGCCTGACTTTTGGCAGAGACATAAACAGGAGGATACGGATTTAGCCGCCCCGGCGGACCAGGAACTGGAGTAGACCCGCCTACTATAAATAGTTAGGTTCCTTTGTAGGGTTCTTTGAACTCCTCTCATCTATTTATATGTAATGATTCTATCGTGTTGGAGTATGGCCCCGAAAGGGTGTGTATTTGCTGCCAACGGGAAGCTTGACTTGTCAGTTAATAATGTTTATAATAATCCATTTATATCTTAAGCTGTCCACAAAAGGGATTTTCACTTCATCCAGATAGTTTGGAAAATTGAGAAGTAAACACTGAGTTTTTAAGAGGTGTTAGTATAAACATCCACAATGAATACAAATATTACTGATTATACTGATAGAGCTTCTTAAAGTGTCCAAAAAACATTAACTTCCAAAGAAGCGTAAACAAAAAGAGGCTCAAATTCCTTACCAAGCAAGTCGATTAATCTATTTATCCGCAAAACGGAGTGCTATAAGAAATAAAAACCGATTATGTCAGATAAGTCTGCGCAGATAGCACGATGCCTTTTTGATAATTCTCGATCAGACGAACGTGACCGTCGACGTAAATTTACAGTTGATAATGTATTTTCTTCAACAGACTACTTCCAAAAATTAACAAAACAATCTTTTAAAACTTTTAAAGGTTAATATATATATTTTTTTTAACCGTACATCGTTCTATTAAGACAAATTTATTTTAGTCGCTATTCTTATTTATGACGGTTATAATGTCAAAAAATAACTAAATAAACAAACCAAATATGAAATAAAATAAATTAGTTAAATGATTGTATTTTAATTATTATTGTTTAATTTATGTTTTCTGCAAATAAGTTGTAAATGAACTCACATCATTAATGATGTCTTTTATTGTGATAGAACGTAATATTAGTTTTAAAAAAAAAGTTACGAAAAAAGTAAAATGGAGCTTGAAAGCATGAGCGGTCTAACCTGCCTAACAATAAAAACGTAAAACGCCCAGAATATGTTTTTACGAAAAAAAAAACTTACTATCTGGTTATTTTCTAGGGTGACATAAGGAAGAAAATATTGCAACAACTCAGTCCCTGAGTCATGAAAGGAAATGACTGAATGTGGAACGTATGCTTGCTGTGTCATTCAGCAGAATGTGTTATATAGAAGATTCATAGCCGTTGATAGTTCGATATCTTTATAAACTCCAAACTTTCCTCTGCGCTGGTAATGGGTAATAAAGATGGGATATTGCAAAGTATTGTAGCCATAAAAAACAATGTTTACATGCGTTACGCGTACAGGACTAATATGAAAGGTTGTTTATAGGAACAAATAGGCTAATACGATGGGACATATATAAATTATGAGTCAGTAGTCGTCTTAGTCCTGTTTATTTTGAAACAAACGTATAGAAAATATAAAAAGGTATAGGTAAGGTCTTGTGTACTATTTCTAGTTCACGTTTAAACCATCCTGTCACATATAGCTCACAAGAAAAAAAAAAAAATATTCGCCAACCAAACGGACTTGGCAAAGATGTAGCTAATTGCCAAACTATAAATGGGTAGCCTAGTTCCCTATTTCAAAACCTTAGGCTGTAGCAAATAAACTAAATATTTTTAGAGGGTTTAGCAAGTTTAAAATACTTTGATTTAATTTATATAAAAAATAACAGTAATTAGAAGAACCTACAAACCAATAAATAGCTTAATTCTGATAAGATAACAGATCGCAATCATTTAAATATTATTATAGTTAAATTATTCGATAATAGCTTCAACATTAACAAGAATTAAAATTAAAAACAACAGTTGTGCTTAGAGTTTGTAACTTTATCAATTTACTGATATAAGGGATTTAATTAATAATTGTGTAAATCTTTCATATCTTTAATCAAAAATAAAAATAACTAAACAATAATAATAATAATGTCATCAATAAAAGATATATGAAATAAAATTTTAAAAAATAAATAAATAATAACTATCCTTCTATCACTGTTAGAAATATATTTCCCGTGATAAGTGTAAGATAACTTGAGTCCGAAATTGGTATTAGAAATTTATTATCGTATTTGTATTATTCAGGCAATCAAAGGTAAAATACCGCTAATAAACAAGGATAAAAAAAAAATAATACAAAACGTGAAATCTAAAAATTGAAAACAATCCAAAAGAAATACATTCTGAAACTTGAGTTATCACGCTTGAAAACTCAAAAAAAGTACATTTTACTCCAATTTTTATTCTTTGGAAATATCCATTACACCAAGAAACGTTAAGAGTCGCTATTACACGGACCAGTTAAATTTTAACAGATAGTTATGAATAAATAGAACTTTGCGTCAAAATTAATGCAAAAATTTAACCGATACCCAGTAACTACTAGACTTTAAAAGTCCTAAGCATTTGTTGATTTTAAAGTATAAGAACCTAAACAACACAGTAAATTTAAAAATTTATAATCTTTGAAGAGCTGAAGTGTTTTCTTAGAGTAAAAGTAAAACAGAATAGTTAAATGATTTTATCAAGATGACCATAATGCCTCAACATGATCTTCATGTTAATAGAAGAATTTGATTTCAATATTTACTAAGAGAATTTCGATTTATTGCAAATGAAATGAACTATTATGTTATATATTAAAACGGTTGATATATTCATTAAATATATTTACTAACCGAAGCTGTGATTCAATATTAAATATCTTGACAAAAAGCTTTACGATACTAAGTATTTTTTTTTCTTTCTAATTTCATAAACAAAAACGAACAACAACAAACTATGGTCAGGCTTCATAATTTTTAAGCAGGAATGTAACGACTGTTAAAGTGGGTGGAACCTCGTTCTCTAACAGCGTAAGGACCAAATTCATTCTCCATAAAATCGAATTAACCCAAGTCGTTTACTGCTAAAGAGGTATAATCGGGGAATAACTAAAGCAGGACGGAACATACTTGGGAACCAACGTATGGTATCAGATGCCTCCATGGTATACCAGACCCGACAGAAGAGAGTGCAGATCACAGACTACGGGGGGACATGGGGCTAGAGGCCAGCGATGACTGTGCCACGATGAATCAGACCCCCTCCAACGGATATAGAACCCGGCCTGTATTTAAACCACAAGAGGTATGCCCTGTGCCATCTTCTTTGGCACCCGGCGGGCTCCTTCGGCTTCTCAACAGAGGCGCACATCGCCGCTCCAAATAGTCCCTCGTCACGGGTGGGTAACGTCAATGCGGGGTTAGCAATGGCGGGATAAATATATTTAAATGTATGCAGGGGAGAGTTCTGTCTTCCAACTCTCTGAATATCGTACATAACAAATATGTAACGATTGAAATTCTGTGTAGGTAAACAATTGTACACCAACAATAAGTTCCATTCCAGATCTTAGATTCAGGATCATTCAACAAACACTTTTGCAGTCAATTAAATCCCCATTACTCCACCGTATTCCTTTTCTCCTCCCCTCTCTTTTTTAGATCGGCCATGAGTAACTAATCACGGTATATGGCATCAAAGGCTTAATCTAAATCACGAGGAAAGCTGATTAACAATTTTAATAACAAAATAAATAAAAGGTTTTATAAATCCATTGCAGTATTTTCAATTATTTTACTTATTTTTTATATATATATTTCGAACTCGTGCGATTGCTGATAACAAAAAGATAATACAAAGATTTATAAAACGTTAAGATAAAATTGTTTACTTTTCTGACAATTGAATACAATTCTTAATCTACTCGATATCACATTTAATATTTTACTTACATTTCAATAAGAATAAAAATGTTGAATAGCAAATAATAGACGAACGAGAATATATCTAAATTCAAGTTCTAAGTTCATAGACCAGATTCTTCAAGTAAATTAGTTAAAAAAACAAATGATAAATAATTTGAAAGGCGTCAAAAGATTGGAGTATGTAAGACAGGGCCGTTATGGGGCATAGTATTCAAGTGCGTAGAGTAGGTGACTCACGCTGGGCTGGTGAAACTACATAACAGATAGCACTCAACGCCTACTTTCCCGCCATACACGATATTAAACGTGCAAAATGCTTTTGTTTACATATCATTAAATTTTGAAATTATTCAAATCCAATAAAATCGTTTTAAATAAATGAATAAAATCATATAATGGCATATCAAAATTAATAAAAAAAAAAAAAGAAATACAAAATGAGTTAATACTCATTTTGTACAAGGCTGCTCACATCTATATTTATGTTTAGGTTACCCATTTTTTAATCTATTATATGATAATATGTGCAGCATTAAACAAATTTCATAAACTTAAGGAGTACATGAATTCTATATATTAATTCTACCGCATATACACGATGTATGTATGTATATATATATATATATATATATATATATATATTATATATATCATAGATATTAATAATAATTAACTGTATTTACAATTATCGATTGTAAATAATAATTACAAATTAAATCTAACTAAAATTGTCATTAATTTTAAATTAAAATTTATTTTTTTTAAATGTAAATACTGCTTGTATTATGGACGGTTTTTTAAAAATTTCATTATAACAAAATTCATACAGTAGAGTTATTTTATTTTAAACCCAAATAAATGTATATATGAACGTAAATAAAAGAATTATTTGATACAAATGCAAACATTTTGAATGAAATAAATTTCACCAATTAATTGACTTTAAATGTTGTTTATGGAGAATAAATCATTTTCAAAGTCAATAAATTTTCTTTTAAATTTAGTAATACGTTTTGTAAAATAAATTTCAATTCCAATTTATGGCAGTAATGACAATAACCATTTACTTTGATTGTATTACAATCGAAGTAAACCGAATCTTAAAATAAAAATTTGACAACACAGTGTTTGTTTACATATGCAAATGAATCTCAAATGTAAATAAATGTATGTTATCATAAGATGGATCATATGTATACCTGTCCGGCTCCAAGTAGGTAACGGGCCCAAGTTGAGAACGAGGCAAGGTGCTTCCTTCTTCATGATGGCACGAATGGTTATGGCACACTACAAGACGTAGACGTGAAGCTAACACAGAGCAGAGGTAAAAGTACTGCTAGAGACTAGACCCAATCAGACTACTTCCACTGTCGGAGTGCGGCCTCAAACTGAGCTCTCCACTCCTGGCCCGAGCGGTCTTGCCCCCTCCGCTACCGCCGCCTGGCGGATGATCCAGACAACTTGCTCTGACTCATTCAGTCCTATCTCCCAGCTGCTATATCTCCACTTCCTCTTCTTGTTTACTTCTATCTCTGTCTTGCCATTCCAGCCCCCGCCGGGACACAACACCCGAGGAAGGACTACAAGGAGGAAGGCTCGTGCATGTTCCACGTAGCTGCAAGTGCAGCCGCTACGACCTCGCTTGTAGTGAGGTGAAGAATTGGCAGCGGGGAAGGCTTTTTGAGAGGAAGAATTGGCAAAACCAAAAAATGGTAAAAGAGGTATCCTACCTCGCCAATTCAATCTTTAAAAAGTTTTAGTAAATATTTCCTTTTATTTTCGGAGAAAATATTGCACCCATAGTATTTTAAATGTTGACACTTCATGCTTTTCAGCAATTTTCCGCACATACGAAGAACATATACAAAGATGAAAATGGACTGAATAACACTATTCTTTTAATTTTTTCTTGGGTTGCTAATCACCATAAAATCTTAACAATGGTAATAAAAAAATGTTTTCATTAATGGAGCAACACTTTTGCATCTTTAGGCCACCAAGCAGAATTATTTTTTCTCTTGTAATTAATTTTTCAACAAAAACAATTCGTCGGAGGGTTCTGATCTTTCAATCGTTTCATTTTAGGACGGAATCAATAAAATATTTTCTTCTTTGAGTTTCTGTTATTTGAATATCATATCTTTCTTCTTATTCCAGCCTTAGATGGCATTTAACAAGGGTTGGTGAAGGTAATAGTTAAAAAGAATATATTTTAGTTTCACTTGATCCTCAAATTGGCAATTCATTTATTTTAAAGGGGCAGGGAAAAAAATCTAAGAAATGCTGTTTATTCATCAACTTATTTTAAACATTCTTAACACGATTATGAAGAGGAAGAAAATTAATGAATTGTGTGGTAAAGTAATAAAAAAAGTACATAAATATATCGTCACTGTTAGTTAAAAAGTATATATCAATTTTTCATCCTTATTCTATTTGTGCTAAGGATGACATTTTAATAGTTTGCAACTGCTATAAGTAGTCTGCTACAACAGAAAATAGAAGAGGGAAATAAAATAATATATGAAAATATAATTTTTATGGCCTCTTATAAAAATAACTCAATTTTCACATACGTTAAATTTCCACTAATAATAGAGATATGTAAGTAAATTATTATAATTTTAGCTTTAAAAAAATGAAATAATCGAAACACTGCTGTTTATATAATTTTTTTGTTATGAAATTTGTCCAGACAACCTAGTCTTTGATTGCGAGAAAAAGAGATAAGCTACTCACGCGATTTATTTAGATTTCAAGAACCAAAAAAGATATGTTAAAACAAAGGTAGATACTGTTTTTCTTCCCATATTATCAATTTTTTTTGTCAAAATTCGATTTTAATAAAACATTAGTGGCATGGTTAATTATTTGTGCTGATGAACTAAGCAAAGAATTTTGACCAAAGACTTGTCGTCCATATCTCTATTTGTAAGGAACTCTCAGTGTTTTAAATTAATGCAATTTAGGTATTATAAGTATTTATTGATATTCCCTCTTATACTAAGTTATTCGTTACTAATTGATCCTACTGGATTTCTTAATAAAACATAACGCAAAACTATACAAAAATAATATCTACAAAGAATTACTGTTATAGTCATTCAAACTTTATTCGGGCAAAAATAAAGTAATTTTAAGCATCTATGACTGCATATTATTATAAGAATGATTTATAATTTCTTTCAATGATGTACTGAGTCATTCTATTTAAAAGTAACAACTGTGTCATCGAGATTATTCAATGCATTCTCAAGAGGTTCGGAGGAAGTTCTGTGTTGAAGACAGGGCAAGTAGACGAAGAAGCTCTTCTTGACCAAGCCTGGACATGGGGCGCAATTGCTGGCACTGTCTCATTCCTTCTGACTCATCGTTGAGAAACAATCGGCATTGATGAGCTGGAATGTGTTCATCAAATAGTTAAAGGCAACACTATGAGCTCCAACCGCAATGCTCTGCCATATATCGTCGTTTTGAGGGCAATCGTTATGATTGGATGAAAGGGAGGCTTTCAAGTATTTTAGTTAAGAATGGGTTAGGTTTTTCATTCGTCTCAATAGGTAAAGAGGGTTATTAAAAGAAAAAAAAAAAAGTTACTTTTAAAATTACTTTGATCTTATGAAGCCACAATGTATTTCAATAGATTTTGTTCACCCTGATGAAGAATGTTTCTTCCAGATTTTAAAATTACAAGACAAAAAAAGAATAAACTAAATTATAAATAAGAATTTTTTTTATTCTATAATGATTAAAAACTCAACAAAGATAGAATATATAATTTTAATAACTTACCACATAAGGCGTATTATTAATAAAAAATATTTTTAATAAGCTTCTAATATTCATTTTATTTAACAATCATAAACGTACTTAATAACGTACCACGTACGCACTTAGAATTTTGAAAACGTAGGACTGATTAAATAGAATTTAATTACAATTGGTTATTTTTTTTCCTCAATATAAATATGTCATGTTTTATTTTCAAAACTTCCAAGACTAAGTATCGCAAATGTAAAAACAATGTTACAGGAAAAAATACCCATATTTTTTTTTTTTTAACATTAAACTAAGGAAAATAAATGTCATCATGAAGTACGAAGGTTGATGAGACCTTCCCAAATGCTTCAGGGATACTATTATCTTAAGTTGTCACAACCGAAAACAATTCAACTTACTGAAGAGGGAGGTAGATATGATATTATATCCATTAATTTAATTATAACAATATTAATAATTTTATTGATTATTATTTTAAAAACGTTTAGATGCAATTCACAGTTATTTATAAACGTTGTTGAAAAAAAAAAAAATGTGATGTCATTTTTCAATCAGTGAACATACAATCGTTTCCAATTCAAGCAATTTAGAAGTCGGTTCTGTATCACTTGATACAATAGCGTCCCTGTAATTTTCCATTCAGATATTTTGTATCAATATCATTTTTATTTCTATTTTAAAATAAAGATAAGATATTCGAATGAAGCGACTGTAAATGAAAACTCAAACGAAGAGAATTTTATATGTTTTTTTTTTTGTTCTGTTTTTAAATTGGATTGAATATAATTTATTTTAAATTAAAATAATCAAATTCAGGAATGTTTGTGCTAGAATTTTAAACTCTAACAATTAAAGAAAGCATTTCAAGATTTGTGGGTTTAGAATACATGAAATTTTAGAGAAAAAATATATATAAATCGATTAAAAAAAAAGAAATAGAAATAAATACATAAAAAAAATAAGACAATTTTCAATGTTTGTAATATCTTATATAGTTTTGTAGAAAACGGGTTAAAACGTTTATTTACTTTTATTTTGCTTTGAAAAAGCTTCATTTTAACAGTTTCTGAGAGTCTTTTTATGAGAAAAAGTATTTTAAATCAAAATATAAGGAAAATTTTTGTAAAAAAAGTTCCAGGTTCATGGTAAAAGTTTAACTTATATTTATTAAAATTTTTGAAAAAAGTTCCGTTAAAGGAAAAATAAACACCATTTGGGTTTAAATTATGTTTATAATTTAGCTTAAATGAATTACACATGATCCTAATGGGCCGTTTGTTTGAGAAACTATAGATAAACGTAATTTTTTAGATTGACTCTCTAGCAAATTCGACAGAGCCTTTTAAAAAAAAGCTTAATTTTTCTAAAAATAAAAGTTCAGTAAAACCTTGAACTTGAAAAGTTGTTAGGAGAAAAGATCTAGTTCCTAAAAGGAAGTGAAAACAATCGATAATAAAAATTCCGGTGATACCGAAACATTTTGAAAATAAAAGTTTTTTTTCCTATTTAAGCCCTGGTAGCATATTATTTTTCATTTTATTCTACTTGGTGTGTACATATACTGAAGATATAAGATATATTCAGCGTATCCTAAAATTATTTATAGTTTTTATTTATTTACAAATCAAGCTTTTAAAATATTACAGCATAAAATTCAAGGACATTGTAGAAAAATTCCTCTTGAGCAACAAACTGATTTCGTTACCATTTGAGATACTATAACCGGATGAATAATACAACTATCATTTTAACAAATTAAATTTATAATATTAATGTTAACAATTAATATTAAACTAATATTAATATTAAACTGATATTGTAAATAATTAAATGCGCGCTCGAAGTCCTTGAGTTGGCCAACAGAACCTGTCTCAACGGCCTACGAAGGACGAAGGAAAAAAAGGAAATAGTCGTCAAAGAAAATCTTATAGTATCATGCAATTCTTAACATCGATTCAAGGTAAACACATAAAACATTTTTAGGCATTTAAATATTTATTTTCATTCAAAAATATACAAATAAAAAAGGACCTAACAATATTTAACAAAATTTTCGCCTCATTTAATAACTTTAACGAGTAAGATGAAGTACCTGACACAATCCAAACGAATTGTATTGAAATGAATGTATTATATATAATTAATGTTAATTATTGAGAAATAAGTGATGATCTCATACCTTACCAGCCATGAGCCAACTTGATAAATTAACCTATGTTATAATTTACATATAGATAATATATTTTATATAAGAAAGAAGGCCATAGAAAGTGTTTAATATACTAAACTATTAAAAAATATATTTAAATCTTTGTCTAACAATATTAATAAGCCATTTTTTTTTTCAAATTCTCATTTAATTTTAGAGTAAATAGATCCCAAAAAAGTGTTTAAAAATGGGACCGTTGATGATTATAAAAAAAATTAATATGACTTTCTTCAAAGGTTTTGCTACGTCAATTCCCACAATTTTTGCTATATTA